GTATGGACCTCCCTCCTGAAAGGAAATATGGAGGAAAGGCCTGAGTAGGACATTTTTTGTTTCAGACTCTTCTGGTCCAGAGCTTTGGTTGCTTTGCAATGCATACTCTGCCCTGATTTTCTAAGACAGAGACTGAGTTTCTATAACATCATCAGTTTTCCTGTTCTAGTTCACCCACATTTATAAATTTGGATTTCTTCTGGTTTTGCTTTGTCAGTCATGTCTATTCCAGGAAGAGTCAGTTCAAAAGCTTGTAGTAAAAACGCTTGGGTATTTATTTCTGTCTTAGTATTTGCTTCTATAAAGACCCAATATAACCTAGCTATATTTATTTCCATTAATTTCTTCAAATACCCTCAAACAACCTACTTTTTTGTTCTTGTTGCTACTAGGTGCTACTGAGTCAACTTTGGCTTATAATGACTTCATTATGTACAAAAGATCAAAACCTTGCCTGATCTTGTGCCATCCTCACAGCCTTTGCTGTTCTTAAGCATGTTGTTATTCCCACTGTATTCATCCATGCTGTTGAGGTCTTCTTCTTTTCCTGGTATGAGTTATCCAAGCATGATATCACCCTTCCAGATAGACAATATGCCCCAAATGTATGGGATAAACTTTGACAAATTTTGCTTTTAAGGAGTGCTCTAATTTTGACTTCTTACAGATTTCGTTGTTCTTTTAGCAGTCTACTGTATATTCAGGACACTTTGCCAATACAACTCAAAGGAACTGAAATGTCTTCAATTTTCCTTATTTATTGTCCAGTTTTCAAAAGCATATGAAATAAATGAAAATGCTATCACTTAAACCAGGCACAACTTAATCTTTAAACAGACATCTTTGCTTTTTAGGAATTTCAAAAGGTCCTTGGCAGCACATTTTCCCAGTGCAGTAATATATCTTTGATTTCTTGAGTCAGTCTTTGGTACATGATGGCCTCATAAAAGCTGAATAAATGCTGATGGTTCCTGCACCATTGTCATGATCAGTTGTGGGGAGGACTACAGTGAGACCTAGAATTTTCATTGACTGCTATTTGGAAGTACATCACCAGATCTTTCTTCCTCATCTTAATCTGGAAGCTCAGCTGAAATCTGTTAAGCATTATTGTAGCATTCAGCTGACAGATGAATGGTGGTAGCAGCAGCACATGAGGTGCATTGACTGGTCTCTTGCATAGAAAATGAGAATTCGGGGAGCTCTGGTGGCCTAGTGGCAAGGAGCTGCAACTACAATCCTAGAGGTGTACGGTTCGAATCCACCAGATGCTCTGCCGGGAAAGGAGGGACAATCTCCTCCTGTACCAGTCAGATCTGATTTGACGGTACACTCACACAAAAATAAAAATAAAAAAAAAAGAAAATGAGAATTCTATCATGGAACTACTTCATCGTAAGCTAAGACAGTGATGTTGTTTGCTTTATCTTTGTAAAATATACTGACTGTAGAGTCTTTGCTACTTTAAAAGGTAAAGTGAAATATTTTGCTTCACTTTGCAGTTTTAATTGAGAAGGTCTGCCTTTTTTATATAGCTTTTTAGCTACTTGGACAAGTGGCTCAGGTCGGAGTGGTCTCCATTGCTGTTTCCCCATTGTAGTTGACAGCACTCCTGGAGAAGGCTTCACTGGGGAGGAGCACCAGCTGCTGCTCCTCTAAATGACGAATCATGACTGTCGTATGAGTTTTAGGCTGAGTGACCCTAAAAAAACCCAGTCAGTTCCTCTTTGTGAAATATTTCTGCAAATTGGGCAAAAAGAGTTAGGAACCAAATCGTGTTCTTGCCACAAATGACACTCAGGTTCAGAAGCTGATCACAAACACTGGATGCCTGAGCAGAGAGGGCTCAAGGCTACCCAGCTGGTGAAGAGATTGATTCTTGACCCACAAAAGTTGATCTATGTATCTTTCCTCAGGGCTTTGAAGATCCTAAACTGCCTAGACTAGTCAGTTTACCTCATGCCCTTTGCTTTTCTCTTAGTGTCTTTCTTGACTTTTTGTTTGAAAAGATATTTGCCTGTTAAGTTCATGTCTTTACTTGTTCTTCTTGTTCTTGCTGTGACACATTGGGACATTCAGATTTAAAAAAAATCCTTATACAGTCAAATTGAGAAATCCATTATTTGTGCATATTTTAGATTTGGTTGTTTTGTACCATTGAGTCAGAACCAAACCATAGCTGACCCAGTCCTTGGCAAAAGAACTCATGCTGGGAAAGGTGGAAGGTAGAGAAAGAGAGAAAGACCTTCAACAAGATGGATTGGCACAGTGACTGCCAATGACCTTTAGTGTATCAGAGATCATAAGGATGGTACAGGAAAGGGCAGGGTTCAGATCTGTTGTTTATAGGGTCACTAGGAGCCGGAGCCAACTCTATTGCACCTAAAAACAACAACAACAACAACAACAGCAGCAACAACAACAATGTCGAGTAAAGGGAACTCTGATGGCATAGTGGAGAGTTTTGATGCCTTCCCAAAGGCTTTTCTCTGGCGGTTGAATCCACCAGATGTTCCTCTGGAGAAACATGGATATCCAATCAATGAACAGGTTCTTAAATAAAAGGTGACTATTTTCTTTGGAAGTAAAATACAATACATTCAACTTCAAAACCAAAGGATTTTAGGATAAAGGAATTAAGTTCTTGTTGTCTCTCAATTATTTCCAGAGCTATGAAAATATAGAGGTATGTGGTCTGACTTTCTCTGCTTTGGATATCTAAAGTGTTTGAAGTCTCTTTCTCTCTCCTGGTATTGTGTAATAAGGAGAAAATATTACTGCATTCATGGTCTTCCTGTCTTAATAAAGCACATATTTTAAAGCAGTTATGGAACTTTGCACAGAAACCAACCTGAAAGGCAAATTAAAGTCATAAAAAATTAAACTAGACAGCAAAGTTTAGTTACCTGAGAAAAAACTATTAAATTTATCTCTTCAGTTGGAAACATAAGATAAATACTTCAAAAACTCACTGTGCTTCTGCTTTCAATTTTACTTTAGGCTGTATAAGATAATACCCTTAGCAAGAATTACACATGTAAATTGTACAGCT